ATTTATTTCAGTCCCTCACAGCTTAAAGGCAACAGTGCATGAAAGCCCCACGGAATACTCTTGATGAAAGACTAACGAATCTAAACCAGCCTCTCTCCCACAAACGGAGCAGAAACCATAGATACACGTAAAATACCACCAGGCATATTCATACCTACAATTGGTTTTGCTTTGTGTGACACTCACACGGTACAACAAAATGCACTCACGCTGCGAAGCTGCTGGCAGGGGCCGCTGGGCTGCAGAGGTGTGTGTGCAGCACCTCCCCTCTTCCCCTTCTCGCTTTTCCCAGTCAGACTCACTCCACATGGAAAGAACTGAAAAACTCTTTTTCCCCCACACCAGAGCAATGGCTCCTACCAGTGGCTGTGCTCATGGGAGGCTTTCTGACATCCTTAACTTCCAAGGCAACTTAAAGTGATACTTAAAACAAGCAGAGAGAAGGGCTCAAGTGAAGTTGTATTTTTCCATTGCTCTATTATCGTAGCAGTATTTGTCTTCAAGCTGCTAAAATAACAGTAATATTTTTTCTTGAAAAACAGTGGTGCTGAAATTTCATTTAAAATCACCCAAAACACATTCAGTTAGAGGTGATAAGAAGGTTAAAAAGTTAAAGCGGTAAGAAAAATCTGGTGAAAAATGAAACATTCAACCAGCTGTTGATGAAACAGGTCGGTTGTGTACCCATGGACTGGGGAGAAGCCTTGTGCACTTCTGAGAGAAATCATAATGCTCAGGCATCATGAATCATTTCGACGCTTTCCATTGCCACTTTTCAAAGTGACTTTGAACCGATGCCTGTCACCGAATGGGGACAAACACGCTGCTTCTGACAACAGGAGGCAAAAGCAAGCACCAAACAGATTTTTGCTCCCAAGCGCTTACGCACTAAGCCCTTCAGTCACTCGGACATTCACAAATATGTTATCCCACTCTCCTGTAACAATATCTGCTAAATTATCCTGCCTGTCCCTGTAAGGCAGGGAGCTTGGACAGACGCCAGCCACCAGCTGAGAGCTCTCCTTGCCAAGTCTGTCAAGTAAATTGATTTTCCTCCAAACCTTTGGGTCTCTTTGAGCAAAAGGAAGCCACGTTTTACCTCCTTTTTGCCCAAAACTCTTGGGGCAAACATCTCATCTCTGGACTGGTGGACACGGAGTGCTGCCCAGGGACCACTGGTCACCTGCAGAACGTCTGGATGTGGCCTGAGCTCGGGCCATGCCGACAGCACGAGCTGCTCACCCGGACAGTCGCGCTGTCCTCTGCAGCTCTGCCGGGCCGTCAGAGGTTGTCCGGTCACTCAGGGAGCAGAGATGTCACAATCCCCCAAACCTCCTGTTCCTCAAACAATACAGTCAAAATCCAAAGCGTGACGTCTTGCTCAGCAGCCAGGCAGGAGCGAGGTGAGGCCCCACACACACGTCTCCTCCTGCCAGGGATGAGGTTAGCTGTACAGTGCCTGCGTCTGCTGTCCCAGCTGCTATCAAGCAGCGTTTTGGGAATGCCTGGGGCACGTCTTTGCTGCTGGAGATGGCAGTGCTGCCCCAACCAGAGGCAGCCGGTGAAGGGTCAGCTGAGAAGCATCTTGACTGCTTCTGAGATACAAACGCACCAGTCTGTCTGCTTCTTCAGTGCAGACATTTTTAACATACCATCTTTTGCTCCGGGTTTTTCATTTTTTCTTCCCGTCATCCAGCTGCTCCTCAGTTCATAAACAGTTCTTCAAATCAATAAAAATTAGTAGGCACATAAAAAAGTAACTGGAAGATATTTGTTGCAGCAGGGTAAGCTATAACATACCACCGGTGCATCGTTCCCTCAATCAAAATTAACTATAGAAGATTTACAGGGTACCCTCAGGAGCAGTGAAAGAAACAAAATCTGAAGCCAAAGGTTTTCTTCTGGAAACACCCACAGTTCTGCCCTCACATAGCTCTTAGGACTTCTCTTCAGCTTTGCAAGACTGGAAGAAGAATAATGACAAAAGCTGTCATAACACCAGAGATGTCACATTTCTACGTTTATGGACATATCACACACCAGCTCATCCCTACAAGCTGGGGGGAGCTAATTAAAGTAATTGCTTCCATGCAATGGCCAGCAGTCCCATGTTTGCCATCACTCCTAGCCCTGGCACAGCTTTGGCTCAGCAGCACCAAACAGGTGAATAACCAGCCAAGAAGCAGCCTCGTAGCAATCCCATCATTTTTGCCACTTCACAAGATGTTGTTCGCCTAATTCAAGTTCTTTACCGAAAGGGTTGTGAGGCATGGGAATGGGCTGCCCAGGGAAGTGGTGGAGTCACCATCCCTGGAGGTCTTTAAAAGACGTTTAGATGTAGAGCTCAGTGATATGGTTTAGTGGGGACTGTTAGTGTTAGGTCAGAGGTTGGACTGGGTGATCTTGAGGTCTCTTCCAACCTAGACAATTCTGTGATTCTGTAATCCTGGTGCTGGCTGAACTTTGGAATAACCTTTTTAGTCCTGATGCTGCACACAGAGCTCGGAGCGATTGATCGCTGTGAAACGAGCTTCCTATAGTCTTAACATCTTTTTAATGGAAGTCAATGCTAAAGAGATAATGTTTTAGCAGAAATATATCTGCAGTGTAAGAAAGGAAGAAAACTAACCTCCGCAAACCGTGGTCAAACTCTAAATAGCTTTGTTTAAAACCTAAATGGTTTTAATTATGCTTATTGTTGCCAATTTCATTAGGACAATCCCTCTGCCTTCCCTGACTTTCATCTAGGTTTCCAGAAATAGAAGAAATCGATATATATTCCTGTGAACTGCTGCATTTCTCTGGAGTTTTCTTCCTTTCATACTGAGTTCTGTCTGAGAACTTCACTTCTCCCTGTTTAAGCCAGAAAGAGGAATGAGCTATGATGTAATTTACAGCACTTCGACCACTGCCAAGTTTTGGATCCAAGATTTTGGTTTAGTCTATGCTAAAATCCAGCTGTGAAACCTAGATTTGCATCTCTGCTGAAATGTAAATCATCTATAGTGAGAAGGAGGGGAAGGTCATTTCATCTCCTCATTTTATCTCGGCTTTCTTACTCCCTCAGCAAGCTGCTGGCATGATCAAAATCTTGTTTGGAAGCACTCAGATAAGGAGAGCAGGTCTAAAACCCGTCAGTGTTTATGTTACAGATGTAAAATACAATAACGTACATTGTACCTTAACTCTCTAAGGCTTAATAGAAGCACTGATGTTTTCCTTGCTGATTCCACGTCAAATTGCTCTGCTTGTGCCTTGCCTGGGATAGTCCTGAGTGCTCCAGGTCCGTGCAGTCAGCCTCAGGAACTGGCTTCTCCTGAGCTCCAGTGGTGTGGAGAGGATCGTGGCCTCGTGCCGGGCTCTGCCCTCGACACAAGCACTGGCAGGAGCCGTGCAAAGCGACAGCGTGCTCACGCTGAGCTCGTGGAATTCAGGCCATCGACTGCCCAGGAGGCGCCCACCAAAGCCACTGCAGACACCGAGCCCGGCCCCACGGCCCAGCGCTGCCCATGGACGGGGAACGAATCGAGCTCGTTCACAGCCTCGCTCTGCTTCCTGGCCCGGGACAAACCCAGCAGCAAGCAGAAGAGCTTGCAAGCAGCACCACCGGCTCCATCCTTTGCAATTTCGGCACTTTTTTTTGTTTTACTTCTGTTCTCAAAAGCCTTCATCAGAAAGGCTCGTTAACGTATTAATATGAAAACACGAGGAGGAAGGCAGGCAGGCTGTGGGCACAGAGCAGCACTGCTAGCTGCCTGCACAAGCCCTCTGCGTGAGGAGATGCCGTGGGAGATGAATTCGTGGTGCTAGATCTTAGCCTGGAGGCACAGCTCAGTTACCAAAGTGCAGGGCCAGTGTGAACAAAGCCACCTCACAGAAGTACTCGAAGGGTAAAGCGATTCCAACTCATCCTTCCACCCCGTGCTCTGCTGCTGCCCCTCCCAGCGTCGCAGATCCCCAGATCAAAGCAGAGAGCCTGAATCTCCTGCAAGCATTCAGCTATTAACGGGATGTTCCCAAGGGCGCGGTAACAGAGTTGGGTACTACTGATCCAGCACAACACCTCCAGTCCTTCTCCTAGGAAAAAAAAGCTGCTACTAAAGCAGCAAAGTGCCAGGAATTTTGTCCATCTGCAAGAAGGAAGCACAACAAGCACAGTGCATCCAATAGGGATGAAAAGAAAAAATAAATTAGCACAGTCAAAAATCCATGGGCCTCATTTACAGTTAGTGGACGTGGAGAAGTTCATTTCTATTTGTGCCCGTCAGCACACTGCTACAACCTCAATGAGAGGCTGCATGCACGTGGGGGTGTCTCCATTGCAGGAAGCTAGCTGGGGATGGAAAGAAAAAACAGCACAGACGGAGCCTGGCCGTAACCAGGTTGTGCAGAAGTGCCTTTGGGCAGGACTCAGCGCAGTTTTCCATAAGCCCAAGGGGCAGGGAGTGCCCCCGTCACACCAGCCCCGCCGAGCAGCGGCGTGGGTCCTGCATCGTGCTCCTGCCTCCAGTCCGTCTTTGCTGGCACACGTCTGCATCCAGCCAGGGGGCTGCCTCCAATGGGTGTGCTGCCAAGGGCGTGGAGACCAACTCGGCTTCCTGATATGCTCTGTAAAATTAGGCTAAGTTGGCGGGTGCATTTGATCAGCTCTCACTTGCAAACAGCCACAGCTCTCACAGACCATGGTTTATTCCCCGGCTGGGAATCACCAGCTTTGTGCTCGGGTCAGACGCGCCACTTGTTCACATGTAGCACCCTAAACCACTTACTGGGTCAGATACTCTCAGTAGACCCTCTCTACCTGAAGGCTGGAGAAGTCCTAAAATTGTCATCGCTTCCCTTTCAAGCCATGGCAAGCAGAGGGCTGAGGCGCAGACTGCCCCCCTCAGTGTTAACCTCACTTCTAACCTTGTTTTTCTGCTGTATTGGTTCTATCTACCTGAGCGCACATATTCATTTAAATGCAAAAATCAATGCTGATGGCATTGATCTGTCTTTAGGAAGAGAAGTGCTACAGCAAGTCATAAAAAACGTCCCTCTGAACCGTGAGAAAGAATCGGCAGAGATGCGGGAAGCTCAGCAGAGCAGATTTGCCATCCTCACAGCTGGGAACTGCGAATGCTGAGAGCCCCACGGCGAGCAGGTGAGCGCCCAGCAGACAGACTTCCTTCAGACATCCTCTTTACACTTGCAAAGGGCGAGCATCTCTGCTGCGAAACACGAACAACATCATCGAGCTGGTCAGAAATAAGCAGCATCCCCCAGCCCCAGCTGCGAGCAGGACGCTGATGTTGGCTGTCAGTGAGAACAACTTCCTCGACACCACGGAGCAAGCACCCTGTGTGCCCGTGGCACAGAGAGCACCCTTACAACACTGCCAGCCAGCCCCTCCACAGCACCTCCACTCATTAAAAACACCGCTTTTAATTGACACTCAGTGCCTCCGACACCATCGCACGCAATCCATAACAACAGGAAGGGCTGAGGCACACAGACCTACTTTATGACTGCTCCATTCAAATAAGCACGCACAATTTTAAAAGCATCCATTTGCTGTTCTTTAGTGCAAATGTTAGCCATTTGGTGGAGCATCATACAAATTTCCTTCGCTCTTCATCTCCAGAAGCACCCTGTAATACACAAGGCAGAGGGTTTATAAATCACCATTGATTTAATGCTAGCCAACAGGGAAGCGTGTTGGATTTGACACAGTTTATAGTTTACCTCATGCTTATTAAATATGAATACAAATGCTCTTTATTTTCAGCTAAATAACAGCCTCTCCAGAAGTAATCTTCATAAATCAAGGAGCAGTTTACCACACCTGACACCTCACTGAAGGAAGAGATCTCGTGGCTGCTCGAGCCGACGGCTGCAGGCGCCAGCCCAGACCTGATCCCGCCCAGGTCTGCCTGGAGCTGCTCCGTGGAGCAAGGCACAACCCCAGCCAGGTTTGCCAGCCTCACACCCCAGCTCGGGGAGGATTCCCGGCAGCCCAGCACCTGGTGACAGAAGGACATTGGGGCTGGAAGTGAGGCAGTCCAGGGCCTCCCAGGTAAGGGCAAAATTCACAGCTGAAAGTCACCTGGAAAGACAGGAGGGGAAGGGAAATGCTGGCAGAATAAGGAGCCCAAGCACTGCAGACTCTGTGTTGGTAGAAAAAAATCACTGTATGGTATTCTCCTTTTTTGCCTCTCAAAAACGTCAAGAACTCTTTTTTTTTTTTTCAAAGAATTCTCCAAGATTTTTTTTATTTGCAAAAAAAAAAAAAGAAAAGATTTCCACAGACAATTCTGTAGAAAGCTCCTCACTGTCTCGCCAGCAGAACTGATTGCATACGTAATGAGCATTTTTTTTTTACTTCTCTAGTGACTGCAGGCTGGCTTTCTTACAAGCCTGGTGCCATATCAGTGGCTCTGCTGCAGGAGAGGCTTTGCTGAAACCCACAACTAGCTGTGAGGTTTAAATCCGTGAGAAATCAGGCTTCTGTATTTCCTGGCTCAGGTAACCCCTCCTCATTTAGCTGCTTTGCAAAGTGGAGCTGAGCCTATGCAGTTGAAGCTGTCTTGTGAGCATCCCAAAGCCTCCCTGCTCTGCCCCCCTGAAGCCTGGCGTATCGTTCCCACCCTGGTGCTCGACAGCCTAGTTTCTACCCTAGGCATCAGCATAAAGGGAACACGGCACTCAGTAGATTTTTAAGAGGTAGATATTTGGCTCAAAAGTGTTGATTGTTTTATTAATGGGCTTAATTTTGCAAAGCTGCATATGCCTAAGGCACGTAACCTCTTGCTTTGAACAAAGAGGAAAAAAATCATCCTAAGCTTCACGAACGCACAAAAAAAAATCAACTGTCAAAACTCTACTCTCAAGGAAGGGTTTGTTTTCACAGTCTGTCACTATAATCAGATCAGTGTCTCCATCTCCCCGCAATCTCCCTACGTTTTGCCTTGACAGTAGCAGCAGTCACCGCACCGACGCGAGGCAGGAAGGCATCAAAGACTCAGGGGTCCCGCGGTACGGCAGGGCCCAGCTGCTGCAGCTTCGGGCAAACCTCCCCGGCAGCTCCCTGCCTGCACCACCGAGGCACGCAGATGCACTTTACAACCCAAGCTTCATCCTGACCTCCCCAAACCTTTCCTTCTGCGGGGTCAGGTTGCCGACGTTATCTTAATGCACTTTCAGGTCTTGCGAACTCGTGGGGAAGCTTCTGGGAGCGCGGTGGAATTGATTTCACCTCCTCCAGGTGGTCTGTGCCCAGCCTGTTCACCATCTCCTTGGAAGATATTGGCTTTCTGTGGTTGCTAATAGGCCAGTTGCCTAGAGTACTGCAATGCGATGCGAAAACAAACAACAAACAGCTCAAATAAAGCCAAAACTCTGCTTAGTGTTTCCATTAATGGCATTCTGAAGAATATTGCAAGGGAAGGCAATGCCAGAGGACAGGGCACTGACCCCAGCTCAGGCCCCAGAGTGATGGCTGAGGGCAGATTTCAGGCTGTTTCAATAAGCTCATAGCTCTGAGAGAAAATGACATGAAATCCCTCTCAGGACAGGAAAAAAAAAATGTTGCCTGCCCTAAAATGCCTGGGCAACAACAAGGGTACTGGGAGTAAACGCACCAAGATTTGTCCCTTAGACGTGGCGAGCTGAGGCTCCTCTTCCCCGCCGAAAGCTCTGCTGCGGAGGTTGTTTTCTGGGGGCCCTCACAAAGTCACTTCACTAAACAGAGCCACGCTGGAACATTTTTCAGAGCCATTAACTTGAACAGACAGGACGCAAATAACGCAGGCACAAAGCAGGCAAAGCTCCACCAGCCACCAGCGGTGGCAGATCCGCCAGCCGAAGCCTTTGGTCAGAGACCTGAGTGCTCAGCAGCTGCAGCAGTGCAAAATAAGTGGGACCAGAATCAGATCCCATCTAGCTAGCAGCAAATATCCTTGGGAAAGGGGGAGAGAAGAGGTCACGTTGCCCAGTGCTTGGTTGTACTTGCATGGCACTTTTTACAAGGCCACCTCTGTGCACTTCCCTCAGGCACAGATCACCTGCCTCCTCCCAGGACAGCTGGGCACCCGGTGTCTACCTGTGCACCCTGGTGCAGCTCTGGCATGCACGTCAAGAGCAGCCTGTATATTTATTTTCCTGTTCCTATGAAGATTTTCCAAGAGGAAAAAAAAAAAAAAAAGAACAACAAAAAAAACAGCCATTTGATTTTCCTACAAAATGCCAAAATCCTCTCATAGCTGCAGGCCCCCAGCCATCCTTGCAGCGTGCCCAGGAGGTGAAATCCCTACGGACAAGGCTGCAGCCGAGCCAGGAGCCCACCATAGAGAAAGTGAATTCCCCCAGCACAGGATCATCACTCCTGCCAGCTGTAGGAGTACACATTTCAGCGAGACCTGTCCTTATTTTTCGAAGTGCAACAGAAGCATGAGGCCTGTTGTTCACACTTTTTTGCTATTTTTTAACTCCCTGTGAGAAGTACTTCCCTTTAGAAAGCCTCTTCCTTTAACAAAGTTTAAGCAGAGCTTCCCTCTGCTCTCGTTTTGCTGGGCAGGGACCCCCAGGAAAGATGCTGGCCTAACACCAGGAGGGCCACAGCTTTCCTCCAGCCCATCAGCCGTGTCTGCACCAAAACAGAGCTGGCAGAGGCTGAGGTGCAACTCTCATTTAGCCTGGGCTCCCTTCATCAGGGGTATTAAGGATCCACCTACAGGCTCTTACGCTCTTTTATTTAATTTTCCCCATCTCCCAAGAGGTCCTAGGGCAGCCTCTTTGAATTAATAGTGCTCAGTGCTAATAAGCTCGGGAAGAGCTCAGGAGCACTCTGATTTGGAAATGCCGTGTGAGACGCTCCCCAGTGCTCTCCCCGAGCACCTCATGCAATTGCTTCCCCTCACAGAGCAATACCCACTGCCTCAGCTGCCACGTGCATGCAGCAGTCGGCTGCATGCAAGAATGGAAATGAACAGTTGAGTAACCCCAGATTTTGTACAGCTTTAGTGAAGCTCCTCAGCCAAAGTCAAAAAACCAGATGTCTGAAAAAGCAATGGCAAAATGATTACACGGAGAGGGCTTTAGATGTGAGCCATCTCCACTGCTCTCTTGGCAGAGCTATCCCTACTTACACCAGTGAAAATGCCCAGAAGTTAGGAAATGCCCTTCTCATGCCTGGCATTCTCATGCCTTCGCATCCCAGCTCCACACCAGAAATACCCTGCACAGACCATGAGGTGTGTCACTGACCTGTGGTACTTCAGGCAGGTCCTGCCATCAGTAGGGCACCTGCAATCCAGGAGAGTTTCCTTTATCAGCTCCTTATCTGTCCAGTGAAGTGTTCCCTCTCCAGCAAATACATCAGTGGTTGGACTTGATGATCTTTAAGGGCTTTTCCAAACTAAATGAAAACGATTCTATGATCATCACCTGGATTTCTGCAGGCGCTCCTCAGCATTTGAATAGAAATCAATGTCAGCACATTGATTTCTGTAATTCACTTATCTACAGAACAGCCCATGAATTGGTTGTTTATTTTGCAAGTATTCAAAATACAAGCACTAGCATTTACTAACAAGGACATTATAGCCAACCAAACTATACTATACTCACAAAAAAAAAAAGCAACACAAAATCCAAAGGAACCAACACCAAAAGCTGACTCCTTCGGTTGTACCCATAATTTCCATTACCTGATTTTATTCCCAAGCAGCAGAAATTGTTATCCTCCCTGCTATTTGTCTCCAAAGCAGAGCCACCAGTCCACCCCTTGGCCAGCTCGTCCAGCTGGGGCTAAGCCCAGGGCTGGAGCAAAGGCTGGTCTTGCAATGGTAAATACAGGCAAGGCCTCAAGCTTTGAGGAAAGATACTTTCAAATCTGGTTAGACTGAGATGCCTTTGAATGACAGAAGAGATTGAAACAGAACCAAAACCACATGACGGTACTGAGGGGGAATTCAAGAGGAGGGTTATGAAGAAATTCATGTTTAATCTACAAAAGGGAACTTATAGGCACAAGCTGGGTGCTGGTTATGGCCAAATCAGCACTTCAAACACTGAAGAGAATGAGGGAGGGAAGACAGGAGCGACACACATTTGATTTTTATAACATTTTACCCTCATTTTTGTTACATTTCAAGATACTGATGAAAAGGTCTATGCATCTAATCTGAAGTACGGCAACAGCCCAGTATAATTCAATCTCGTGTAAAGTTAAACACGTATATGCAGGATCAGTTTATTTATTTATTTCTAAATAAAGATAAAATAAAGCAACGGTCTATTTTTTAACCAGACATCGGATCTCCCCAGATAATGTTCTCCTCAATGCTCACCACTAGGAAGCATAACATATCTTTTTTTTTTTTTCCCTGAAGAGATTAAATGCAGTTATTGCTGAATTTGTCCTACTTCTCCACTGAACTGCTAAAGGAGACAAATAACATTTTCACTAGACTTAATTAAAATTCATGTTAATAAGCTAAAGTGTAGTGAACCAAATATAGCCAATATTTTATATTACTGACTGAATTTACTACATATTTTGATATTTCATGTAATAAGTTATAATAACATGAGTTTATTAAACAGAATTATCTTAAGTATAGAGAAGTGAGGACAGACAGATAGAGGCAGATTTGTTTAAATGCAAGCAGACTGAGTTACCAACAATCCTTTCTAAGTTACACTGTTTTCCCTTGTGGTAGGTAACAAAATCACTTACTGATTTATCATACAGCAAAAAACACTGTGCCAAGGTACCAAGCGTGCAAGCACGTACTTCTGAAGTCCCTGTGCCATCACAGGGCACCCAGTGCAGCCTGTGCCGTGGTGCCCAGCCACTGAGCAGCTCTTGCAGTACTTCGAAGAAATTAAGTCAGATTTATCTACCCCCCCGAAAGGTAAGACGCCATACAGGAGTACCACAAATTATTCAAAACAGAAATTATAATTAGAAGTACAGCAGTTTACTCTTGCTGAATGACATCTCTCATCTTTTTACCATTGTGCCGATTTGTTGTCACCACCTATCAAATTTGTAAAGCTCATTCCAATTTCTGCCCACCACGTGGACCACTGAAACAAACTACACACAGCTCTGTGGCATTCTGGTTTGAGGGAACACACCTGAAATTGCATGCTATGACAGAGGGGTAGTGACAAGAGCATCTGTATTATTTTATTGGCCATAAAGGAGAAAATGTGCTGTAACAAATTGTAGAGGTTACACCTTTTAGCAACTAGATGGCCACTTCAGAAATTTAAGACCTCACCTTTAAGAAGCAAAACAACTGAGCTATAATTCATATTTATTTCACTCTTCCGCTTTTCCATCAAAGATTTTCACTCTGCATATAAAACTTCTCTTCAAAAAGCTGTCAAGAATTTAAGAAATTTTCCCTTGAAGAAAAATGTACAACCTTTTCTTAGTGTCCTGAGAGATAACAGCAGACATGTCAGTCACAATGGGGCTGCAGCAATTACATTTATGCAGATTTTATTTCCTGAGATTTCCTCAAGGCAGGGGATGGTTGTTTTAGAAGAGAAAGGCTAAAGCTCCAGAAAGGCTCCTGGAAGCTAAATCTTCCAGGAAGGACCCAGAGAGCCATCCCAAGCTGTAGGCTCATCTCTTCCATCAGACTAGAGCAGCCTCAGGACTAAGCTTATCTGCTTCAGCCTTTCCAAACCCATCACTGATGGCTACAGTGTGAGCACGTATTATCTTGTGCAACTCATTTCTGAGCATGTTGCATTTTCATTCAAGGCTGAGATTATTTTTCCATTTCTACACCTCCATCTTTGGTTCTCCAGTCAGAGCAGACCTTGAACAAATACAGTCATGTCTCTCTTAGACCATCCCCGCTGCTTCTCATTTCTGCAGCAGTGCACTTTGATTGCTAGTTGAGCTAATTGAAATAAAGGTGGTTTTGCACAACTGAGTACCCGCATTTCTCTACAGAACCTATAGAGAGATTTTTACTAATGCAAGGCAAAAGGAAGGCAGCAGGACAGGTCCTTCACTCTTTCTTTTCTGGGGAAAGCAGAAAAGGAAACTTTGCAGCTCCTTCACCTCGGATTAGGCAATGATAATTTCTTCCCCTGCTTCACCCAGTTTAACCCCTGCAGTAGCCTATATCTGGGGCTCGTTCCTGTGAGCCTGCAACCTCCTGGGAGATGCTGGGCGGTGCCTATTTCTCCTGACTTCCAATGAACCCAGGAGCACGGATACTTTTGTAGGGCAATTAAAGCTTTGAGGATCCAGGTGCTTTGGGTCCAGTTTTTCCTTGGGGAATGGAAACTGCCAAAGGGAATAGTGGCTTATGCAGCGTTTTGTGCTTCCTTTACCAATCAATGCGCTATAGAATACAAGCTGAGGCATACGCTGAGAGGCTAAGCTTACCAGAAGTTACACTCGCCCAACCCCGGTCAGCCTCACAGCACCAAGTGGAGGCTTTCAGCAGCTCTGTGGCTTCCTTCATGCCCCCACCCTGCAGAGTCTGTTCCTGCTGTGCCCTCAGCTGGAGGACAAAGCCAAGTCATTGCAGAGGGCTGCAAACAAGCAGCTGATTACGGTGCACAATTAAGAGTCAGCGTGCAGGTCCCTGGCAGACTGGTGCATTGTGTGACTTTCTGTGAACAAAAGGTCAAAGCAAGCAAACGAGTTGGGAAGGCAGATTCCTGTCGCCCAAACAAGAAGAGTCTCGCATTTCTGGGAATGCACGGATCTTCCTCCAGATGTCATTGCGAGTGGGAAACCAGTAGGCAAACCAAATGACAGCAAGAGCGTATTGCAAGCACGCAACCTTCAGTCACCAGCCCAACTCAGGGGAAGAAAAATAATCTTATAAATCTGTGAGGGAGAGAATCTTTGCTACGAGGGTATCAAGATGCGCCGTAGCTATAGCTGCGACTTGAGTGTATTTGTTGTGTTTGAGACATCTGTCTCCTAAGCACACCAGGTCCATCACAAGTCTGATGAGACTCTTACTTATACTGTATCTGCAGCACTTTTCTGCTGAGTTAAATGATATTGTACTTTGGAGAAGCAAAACTCTGCGTGAGCTTTCAGATCTATGCAATTTAAGCACCTTCCATATTTTAGTTTACTACCTGAAATAGAGACTTACCAGATTGCAGCCCTGTGTGAGCAAACACAACTGAAGG